TAGTAGGTTGCCTTTTTGTTTTGTTAATGGTTTCCTTCACTTTGCAAAAGCTTTTTAGTTTGATGTGGTCCAAAAAGTTTCCCTTTGCTTTCGTTTCTTACCCAAGGAAACATGTCCAGAAAGATATTTCTATGGCCAGAGTCCAAGAGATAGCTGCCTGTATTTTCTTTTAAGAGTTTTACGGTCTCAGGTCTTGCATTTAGGTCTCTAATCCATTTTGAGTTTAGTTTTCTGTATGGTGTAAATGATACAGTTTTATTCTTTTGCATGTAGTTGTCCAGGTTTCACAACACCATTTATTGAAGAGACTGTGTTATCCCCATTGTGTATTCATGCCTCCTTTGTCATAAATTAATTGGCCATATACATGCAGATTTATTTCTGGGCTCTCGATTCTGTTCTATTGATCTATGTGTCTGTTTTTGTGTTAATACCATATTGTTTTGATTTCTCATTTCTTTGTTGAGATAGAAGTGAATTTTTAATAAGATATCAAATTATAAAAGCTTTATTATTATTAGAACTTTAAAAAAAATAGGTCCTATTCCAGCATTTGTGGCAAAGCTGAGATTAAGGACTCTGTGGCTCTCACAGGGGCTTCCCTTTGGGGTGGCCCTAACTGTGGTCAGTTAATCTGCATTCCATATAAGATAGGATGGGCTCTCTGAGTGTTCTTTCCACTCTTCTGTCTCCAGACATAATAAGGCAGGGTATATAGACCACTATAGAGCATGCCTACATTTAACAGTTACTGGAAGCCATTGCCTATGGTCTCATTTAGGAGAAGCAGAGTCAAGGTGAGTCCTCTTTCAACCAATAGCAACATCTGTGTAACCTTGGACAAATTATTCCATGTTAGTGGGCATCAATCCTCTCATCTAAAAATTAGAATTTCAGTATCCAGGGACACCTGGGTGGCTCAGTCTGTTAAGTGTCTGCCTTTGGCTCAGGTCATGATCCCAGGGTCCTGGGATCGAGTCCCTCATTGGGCTCCCTGCTCGGCGGGAAGCCTGCTTCTCCCTCTACCTGCTACTCCCCCTGCTTGTGCTCTCTCTCTCTCTCAAATAAATAAATAAATAAATAATCTTAAAAAAGGAGGGGGGGCTGCTTCCTCTGCTCCACCGTGTCAAAGATCCTTGCTGTCACGTTTCTGGATATTCTGTTGAACCTTCTTAAGAATTCAGAGAAACTGCTGGCTGACCACTGAAAGAAAGATATAATCTTCAGGCTTACGCATAGTCCATCCGCTCCATCAGAATAATGTCCTACGTTTTTTTAAATGATTCATCTCAGACTAATGTGCCCTTGCTACAAGCCTGTATTGATGGAGACTTTAACTATTCCAAGAGGCTTTTGGAAAGCAGCTTTGACGCAAATATTTGTGACAGCAGGGGCAGAACAGACCTTCACCTCGCAGCAGCCAGAGGGAACGTTGACATCTGCCCACTGTTGCATAAATTTGGTGCTGATCTTTGGCCACAGATTATCAAGGAAACACAGCCCTGCATCTGTGTGGCCATGTGGATACTATTCAATTCTTAGTTTCCAATGGACTCAAAATTGATATTTGTAATCATCAAGGTGCCACACCCTTGGTTCTGGCATAGCGCAGAGGAGTGAATAAAGATGTCATCCGATTGCTGGAATCTTTGGAAGAACAAGCGGTAAAAGGGTTTAACAGAGGAACTCACTCAAAACTGGAGACCATGCAGACAGCTGAGAGTGCCATGGAAAGCCATTCTCTCCTCAATCCCAACCTGCAGCAAGGGGAAGGAGTCCTGTCCAGTTTCCGAACCACATGGCAGGAGTTTGTCGAGGACCTGGGCTTCTGGAGGGTGTTGCTCTTGATCTTTGTCATTGCTTTGCTGTCCCTTGGCATTGCACACTACGTAAGCAGGGTGCTCCCCTTCGTGGAGAACCAGCCTGAACTGGGGCATTAAAGGAGCCCATGGGGATGGGGCCAGTGCCTCTTTCCTGGCTTCCACTGTTTGCTCTGAGTTTCTCAAACATTTTCTCTTACTGCAAGGCAGTGAGGGCTGTACATTTTTTCTTTGTGCATTTTTATGTATTGTAACCCTTTTCGAACAACGTGTTCATTTGAACTAACCACACACCATAGTCAAGTATACTTCATCCTAAAGCTACCTCTGACTCAGCCCGACTTGTTAGGAAAGCCTTCACGTAGCCTTGTTTGATAAAAACATGGAGGTGACTGAAGAATGAAAGATAAAGGAAGAGCCTAGGGAGTGTTGCTACAGAAACCTTACCCTAATATGGAACCAACTAAAGTGAAGTGCTCAAAAAGAGAAAGGTTTTCTTATGTGATTACTTTTTGTTAGTTGGTTGGTTTAGGTTTTGTTTATTTTTGCAAGAGCCCCTTTTTTTCTTTTTCTTTTCTGGGAATAGGTGAGAGAATGAAACATTAAGCTTAAAACTTGAAGTGCTTTTTTCACAACCTGTATAGCAAACCAGTATGTGGGACTCTGTTTGGTTTATTTTAATATTTTCAAGTCTAGTTACAAACCGAACAGAACTTTTGAAAATGAGCTACATTTTCTTCAAAAATGATTGATTTGACATTTATTTGTTTATAGGATAATTTTGGTGGGGTTTTTTTTGTAAACTGCTTTGCTTGTTGTTAATATCTGTGAAAAAAGAACTTGAGTTCATTTTGTTCACTTTCCAGTTTCCCCTAGTGTTTATATCAAAGATCTCCTGTTCATCAAAAATATAGTCAGAAAACTCTTTTTCGACTCAGTAGGTAGCAGAGAAAGATAATTCTGACATCTGTCACTGTAATTCTGTAGTGCTATTATTGTGAAAAATTCTGTGCTACAGGCTAGCTGTGTTGTTACAACTGTATCATAGTTGATAATTATTTCATTTTACATGCAATCCTGTTTAGAGGCCCTGTTAGAATTGTCTTAACAGTCTCATTTGTATCAGTAATTCTCTGATGCAAGAGTGGATGGAGCATTTCTGAGGTAACAGTGCTGAGCACTACTGTACTGGGTGCCATCCACTCTTTACGGATGGTAATATTATGTAAAGTGAAGTCTGGTCCCCAGACTGTATTGCAGCTTTCAGCCTCTTTTGTTAATGAGTCTGTTATGTATAAATCATATTCTTGAGTTTTTAAAAAGTATATAAAGAGTCGATAATTATTCACTGAGTATAGTCAGAAAATTGTAGTGAAAGAACTAATGGTTTTATTTTTTAGAACAAAGGCATCTAAGCTACTGCTAATTGAATTGTTGCTACAGGTAGAAACTATACTTTAGAGTAGGATTGACATTTCTGTGATTCTTGCTGCTTCTTGCTATTTTCTCTTGTATTTATATATGTAGGATTGAGCTGTTTTCTTTCATGTGGCTTTATCCTCTCTTAAAGAGCTGTTTAAAAATTCCTGATTTAACTGACTGCTTCAGGATCAGCTCACAGAGTCTTGTTTTTAGGGTAGAAATAAAATAAATCATACTTGGTAAAATACAGCAAAATAAAAGCCGACTTTAGACTGGAGAACACTAGAACTCAAAATCAGAGTATATTCAGAATGAAAGCTTTGGAATTCGCCTTATGTTTGTAAATCTAGATAAGCAGAATTGGTTAACATATATGTAAAGATACTGCATTTTTTAAAGATTTTAAGTGCTGATTTCTTTGTATTTTAATCTCTGCATTCAGCATTCAGTAATACTACCAATAAATGCATTTAGAGTATCTTAAAAAAAAAGGAATTTCAGTATCCATTCTACCCATCTGATGGAATGGTTGAAAATACCAAATAAAGTCACAGAAGAAAAATTGCCTCATGAACTGTAAATTACTATTAAAATGTCAGGTATGGGGCACCTGGGTGGCTCAGTCAGTTAAAGGTCCAACTCTTGCTTTTGGCTCAGGTAATGAGATTGAGCCCCGCTTTGGGCTCTGTGCTCAGTGAGGAGTCTGCTGGAGAGAGATTCTCTCTTTCCCTTTCCCTCCCCTCTGCCTCTCCCCTTGCTTGTGCATATTCTCTCTCTCATTCAAATAAATAAATAAATAAAACATTTTTTAAAGATTAAAAAAAAATGTCAGGTACACCCATTATAATTTTTAAAAATTATTTCATATAGGGGGCACCTGGGTGGCTCGGTCGTTAAGCATCTGCCTTTGGCTCAGGTCATGATCCCAGGGTCCTGGGATCGAGCCCCACACTGGGCTCCCTGCTCGGCGGGGAGCCTGCTTCTCCCTCTGCCTGCTCTGCCGCCGCTCCCCCTGCTGTGCGCTCTCTCTCTCTCTGACAAATAAATAAAAATCTATTTTAAAAATCTTTTAAAAAATTATTTCATATAGGATTAGCTGAGATCTAACTGTTTAGGGGTATGCTATTCTGACTGCAGCATGGAGTCCATAAATGGATAGACTAGGAAACAGTCCAGTCCAGTGACACAGGAGCATTAGATTATTATTTTGGACATAATACCAAATATTAATAGTACACATAGGATGCCATGTAAAGTTCTCAAAATTTTTACCTCACACAGAAGGAAGAAGACACTTAAATATTAGTTTGGTTATGAGAAGAACCCACAGAGTTGTCTCATTAACCAGATCCATCAGCCACATACTTGAAGTATTAAAAATTCTTGACCTTTGACAGTAGTAATTTAATAAAATGTAACAATTTTAATTTTCAAAATTTCTCTGGGGAATGTGAAGATTAGCTCACTGTGGATGTCAATTAGCCAGAAATTAGAAATAAGTTTAGGGCGCCTGGGTGGCTCAGTTGGTTAAGCGACTGCCTTCGGCTCAGGTCATGATCCTGGAATCACGGAATCGATTCCACACAGACTCCCTGCTCAGCGGGGAGTCTGCTTCTCCCTCTGACCCTCCCCCCTCTCATGCTCTCTCTCTCTCTCTCATTCTCTCTCTCAAATAAATAAAATCTTAAAAAAAAAAGAAAGAAGGTTAACTAATGAATTTGTGAAATGGAATAAGTTTAAAATTTTAATGTTTTTCAGTTGCCCAAAAAATTTCAAGTGAATATGGCTTAAGGCGTTTGTCAATAGGAGAAGCTTTGCATTACGTATTAAACAGCCAACCAGACACAGAGCTGGCACTCATGTTAAATTGGCATCTTCATAAAGGAATGACAGCCCCTGATGAACTGGCTATTCAAGCCTTAGAAATCTGTCTGATGGAAAGCATATGTAATACTGCAGGGTAAGTGAGTGTGGGGCTGGGGAGGGAGTTAAAGAATTCTTTTAAGAATTACCAACAGAATTTAAAACACTTATATTAAACAAGGTTTAAAGCTCTTGTAGAGGGTGTGATCTACTTCTCAAACCTTAGGCACATTCATAGTTATATATTTTAATTTTCTGTCAGGCTAAAACTTGGCTTGAACACTTATATGGCAGAATAGCAGGCGGCCACTTCACTTGCTGCAGCAACCCCTGGGTTGTCCAAAAGTCTCTGGGCTTACACTGTCAGCAAAGGAGGCCAGTGTGACTTCCAACGTCTAGTAGACCTTCTCACTGCTCCATGGAATGATGAAGGAGTGGCCCTCCCCTCTTCCCTAGAAGGTATTGGTCTAATGGAGATAGTCTCTCACTGGCCCAGCTCCCTGCACAGGTAGCAGTGCCCCTCCCTTAATGCTACATTTGGACCTAAGGGCCCCATGCTTGAGCTTTCCCTTCAGTTTACAATCCTCTGCCCTACCATTACTCACCCAATGCAGCCACTGGTCGCATCCAGTTGTAAAAGCCAGTGCAACCTAATGCCCTGCTCTTGAGCCCAGGTCACTGACCTAGAATCCCACTGATCTATTCAAGGTTGTATCACATTAAGAGGCTTTTAGCCCTTCCCTGCTACTGGTCCTTAAATCTTTGGACAGTTCTCCTAATTTCAGTTATGAAGAGCAGATTCTGGGGTATCAGCTTTTTCCCCCAGAGAAGGCCCTGGGACTTATACAAATTGAGTTACCTCCTCCCTGGCATTCAGCTTTGCGCACAAGGGATCTTTGTGAAGACAACCTTGAGTCGAAAGGGGTTTATTTCACCTTAATACCAGAACAGTGACTGGCCAATCACCCTGAATTTTTCTAAACTTGAGGGCCACTCAAGCGACCCTTCACAAGCAAAGAAATTGAGCTACTTTTTATTTTGAAAACCCCAAAACACAACCATAGCACTCCCATAATGTTGTCTATTAGGTTTGCCTGGCTGCATTAATTTACAATCCTCTCTGTCATGGAACTTAGAACTAGTGCCTAGAGACTTGGCTGGAGAGCACTGAGTAAGGGGATCCTGTGACTTCCTCTAAACCAGCCCTTCCTGATGACCATCAGCCAGCAGGCCTGGCTTGCTCCCTCCTCAGAGGGAGTTTCCTGACTTTGGGGGCCACTCCTCTCGGAATGTGTGGATACCCTTTATTCCTCCTCTCAGTTTGATAGTTATACTCTCATTATCACAGACTGGGACTAACGTAAATTCTCTGTCACTTCTGCTCAGAAGCATGCTGGGTCCTGATGGAATGATTCTCTCTCAGATGTCACAGGGCTCCTCTCACCAACTCCCCATCTCTCCCCTCACCGCCACCCCCCAGCCTTCCCATCGAACTTTACTATAAAAGCAAGCTTAGAGCACAATTGTTTTCCCATATTGGTTTAATCCCTTACTAAGATACTATTCATTGTGCCAGGACCTATTCTAGTTGCTTTACATACCGGATCTATAAGTCTTTAAGACAACTCTCAGGGTTAAGTATCATTTCCCCTATTTTACTGAAAACTGAGACTCAGAGGGGTCAAGCTAGGTCGCAAATCTGTGTCTGTCTGCCTCTGAAGCCTGTATTCTTTCCACTGTTTCATGCTTAGAATAAAAGCACCAATTGAATAACACAATGTTCAAGGTATAATGCGTGTTACCTCTTGAGTTCTGCCAAAGCCTAGCTCTGTGATGCTAAGTGTTATGAATTCAGAGCTGTGTCTGTCTGTATGCTGCCCTACATCTGGTTCTTGGGCTGAATGAGGTTAAAAATATAGAGATAAAGAGGGCAAAGTGCAAAGAAGGTAAGTCAAGTTATAAAAGAAAGAGCAAGAGGCTATTCCTAAAGAGATAGACTGGTTCTAGAAGATAGGAAGGAAGATATGAGAGAAAAGAAATCTGGAATTATTTTCATCTTTCTCCTTGCTAGTGTTGTCATCGATGGCTACCCTGTAACTAAATATCAAGTGAGTCTCTTGGAAGCTAGGTCAATCATCCCCATGGTCATCTTTGAGTTGGATGTGCCTTCCAAGGAGATTTTCAAAAGATTGCTCCTGGAAAAAAAAAAGGAAAAAAGGTAATGTATGTGATGAAAGCAACGACAAAGGAATGAACTTTAATCATCCAGGAAAAAAAGTACATTTTTAACAGCTTTTTCCATTTATTCTGTTTCTCTATTAGTTTGCCTTATCCACTGCACAATAGCACACAGATTACAGCTGTCAAAAACTCAAAATACCGTAAAAATATTGATGAGATTAGGAAATATTATCAAGAACAGCATCAGAACTGGTATGTGATTGATGGATTTCACAGCAAATGGTGGGTGTGGAATAAAGTCATTAAGGAAGTTCAAATGGTGAATAAACATATGCAGATATACCTGGAAAGAATAAAAGCAGGTAAGAAAACATTAAATTGTTAAAATAGAATAAAATGTTAATTGAAAGTCTACATATGTCTGATTCATGTTACCATGATTCATTCAATTTGAACATTTGTTCCCACAATCTTAATCAGTCTTTTAAGTATATGGTACTATCCAATTATTGTGGGCAAGTATATTGTTCTCATAAGTGACTGCCATTACTCAAGCTATCATTTATTGAATTCCTATGTGAACCTAGCACATAAAAATAATGCATAGCCTCTCACTAGAAGAGTTTATAATGTTTGGAATGACATGTAAGAAGCTAAATTTCAAGAATGCTAGTTATATGAGAGTAGTGTTCTATGAGATGACACTTGGCAAAATTTTGTTTATGAATCTAGAATTAAAGTTATTTTTGGTATTTATATTCATTATGGTATTACATAAGTGCTGAATCTATAAAAAATTAAACTTGAGCATAAAATGTCTTTTAATATATATATTTGGAAACCGTGAAAGAAAATGTTTGATTATATATTCCTATAAGTTTCTTGACTTTTATCTAAAAATACATAAAATAGGAAAGTGATCTATATCTGATATCTCTAAAAAGAGTGATGACTCTAAAGAATTGAGCTATAGGGGTCTCACAGACATCTGGTTAGTGACTTTGTTTAACTATGGGACGACAGAGAAAATATAATGAGGTTTGAGAACAATGTGACTAATAGAATCCTACACAAGGCAGTGAGGATTCTGCATCATTAAATCTTGATTTGCTTCATTATTTGGGCATAACCAGTATCTCTGGTTCCCGTTTGTCTGCAGACTGGGAATTTGTTTTCACCTGAGGATTACAAGGCATGATGAGTACAAGGGAAGAAAGAATTGGGCTTTTAGAAACCTACTCGCAATAAGTTTTGGAAAGCATCGCACTTGTAAAAGACTCCACGGCAGACTTTGAAAGCAAAACTTGTCTCTTTCATCTTTCTGTTACCCTATTTCACCCTCCCTACACCTTAGATTCAGTTCCCTGGAAACAGACTCAAGTTTAAACAAGATTAAAAGTTGTCTGCCGAAGCTTTATCAGAAAGTATTCTCAGGATTTGAGTTGCCAGATTTAGCAACCAAAAATATAGGATGCCCAGTTAAATTTGAATTTCAGATAAATAACAAATAAGTTTTTAGTGTAAGTATGTCCTAAACATTGCATGAGATATACTTATACTAAAAACTCTTCATTGTTAATCTGAAATTTAAACGCACTGGGCTTCCTGTATGTTAATCAGGAGATACAGCTGTGGGGAGTGAGGACAATAGAATTGGACAGAGGGAGAAACTGACCTGCCATGTGGTGGAAACAAAAGCCTCAGCAGATCCAGATAGGGAAGCCCTGGAGCTAGGATGGACCTTCAGAATTTCCCAACTGAGGGGTGGAGCCAGGCTCTATATCACTCCATTGGCCTGCCATTGACCACAGGTCACTCTGGGAGGGCGTTAACCTGTGGCAGATGGGCAATTCCCAGTGTACCTGTGACCCATCAGCACTGATGCTCCCAGCATCTGAGGGATGGCTACATCAGCCCTGAAGAGGAATCTGGATGAGGTGCCACGGTATCCATTTCATTATTCCATATATACTTGCCTCTGCCTTGAATAGTTTGATCTTATTGAAGTCGACCTTATTGATCTTCTGCTTCAACTTCCACCTAATAATCTAACCTGTCCCTGATTGTTTAAATTTAGTTTTGACTTTTGTTTTGTTTTGTTTTCATTCCACATTTCCTTGTATGCTATCCAGTGATCCTCTCCTATCGGGGCCAAAGTTTACTCTGACTGACGAGATGGAGCAAGGTCAGGGCTAGAAGATTAAAGAGATTCCTCCTCATTCTGCCACATTCCAGATTAAGATATATGGGCATTGCCAGATGTCATCAAGAATACAGAAGAAGAGATATTTGAGTATCTTTTAGGACTTGAAGTCATGTGATTCTAAATTACCCTGTCACTAAATGTGTCAGGATTTGTGAGGTTCAGCATATCTGAGCTAAAGAGCAGCTAGGATTGTAATACTGTAGTACCATATAGTATAATATTATAGCACTATATAATACTATATACTCTAATAGTGAAACATATTATTATAGCATAGTACTGTACATTATAGCACTTTAGAATAATATTATGGCACTATAGTATTATAGTGTAATGTTCTTTGTAGGGAAGGAATATTAGGGCTTCTTAGCTTTTTCATCTGTGTCATAAACAACAGATGGAATAGCATATTAGTTTATGCTGCATAACAAATTATTTCGAAACTTAGCAGCATAAATAACCCCCCCACACACACACAAACACAAAATTTCTGTGGGTCAGGAATCCAGTCAAAGTTTAACTGGATTCTCTGCTTTAGGAACTCTCACAACCCTAATCAAGGTATTGTCTAGGATTATTGTCTCATCTGAAGGCCCAACTAGGAAAGAATCTACTACCACACTCATTCATGAATTGCTGACAAGATTTCGTTCCTTCAGGGTTGTTGGATTGAGGGCCTCAGTTTCTTGCTAGCTGTTGGCCACAGACCACTTTGAGTTCCTTCCCATATAGTCCTTTCCAACATGGTGCCTTTGTTTTATCAAGTGAACAAGCTGAGAAGGCAAGAAAGGGTGCCAAAAAGAAGTCACAGTCTTCCATAATTGTTTTAGTTTCCTAAGCCTGCTGTGAGAAAGTACCACAGACTGGGTGGCTTAAACAACAAAAATTTATTCTCTCACAGTTCTGGAGTGTAGAAACGCAAAATCAAGGTGTTACCAAAGCCATATTCTCTCCGAAGGCTCTAGGGGAGACTCTGTTCGATGTCTTTCTCTTGGCTTCCAGTGTTGCCATCAATCCTCTCCATTCTTTGGCTTGTAGACCATTGCCCCAATCCTAAGGATCAATTTTATATGTTTACTTTGTCACATAACAAGCTATGATTTATGATTCATAGATTTTATAGTTAATTTAAGACATTCCTAGGCATAATGATAGTTTTTAAAAGGCAAAACTTCTCACTAATGAAAGGGACCATTAACAAAATATATTAAGGGTCAAAATTTACTCATTGTAACTAAGATGTATGAAAAAATTTTTCATTTTCTATAATATGTTTTATTTCTTTGCAATCCCCATTCCAGTGCAGTATTGGGGAGAAAACACTCAAACCTGTTCACTGAAGGACCTTGGGCTCTTCCTTTTTAAAATAGACTCCTTGGGGTAAACCTAGTCACTTTTGGAAAAACATTTCTTCCCTTCTCTTGTGTGCCATCTGGGTACAGTAACATCACGTCAACAAACTATTTGCACTTTTTGAAATCTACCCCACAGAAAAATTTAGAATATGTAGCAAATTTATATATGTGTGTCTAAGTAGCTATGCAGACATGCATACACACACACACACACACACGCACACACACACACACACACACGCACATATGGTTTATAACAGATATAATTTATAATAGATAAGAATTAAAAACAACCAAAACATTCATGAACAGATAAATGGCTAAGTAAACTATATGCATATTTATGCAATGGAATACTATGCATCAGTTAAAAAGAACTAGGTAAATCATATAAACTGATATGGAAAGATGTCAAAGACCATAAATAACTGATAAAAGCAAGTTGCAGAATAATGTTTACAGCATAGTGGCATAAGCATGCTATGTGCAAAAAATAAATGTGTATATGCAAGTGTATAGAAAAAAGTCTGAGAAAGATACAAATCAACAGTGATTACTCTCAGGAGGGATGTTGAATTGAGAGGATGAAGGTGTGAAGAGAAACTTACTTTTTACTCTGTTGTTTGGAATTTTACAATGTATGTGCATTTGTATCATGTGTGTGTAATTGAAATCATTTTAATTTCTAAAATCACTGTGTTTTCTCTGAAAAGGAATATATAATAATAATAATAGTTAATCTGTTACTAATAGGAAAAGCTGCCTGCATAGACAAGTTATGTATCACACCTCAAGAACTGATTTCTCGCCTGGGCGAATTTGGACAGTTCTGCCCTATCAGCCTGGCAGAATCACATGAACTAGTTGATTGCTCTATAACTGATTCACTGGAATTTGCAGCAGAGTTCAGAGGGCACTATTACAAAATGAGTTCTCAGGAAAATCTGAACGTAAGTTTGTTCCTAACTTCACGTATTTACTAGGGAAAGAAAATGCCTGTCTCAGAATTCATCAAATAGGAAGGCGTGAGTACAGCTGGGAACAAACACCCAGGAACTGGAGACCAGGAGCCCCATTATTGGAACCTATGACAGTAGAACCAATGAGGCAACTTGGAGGGCAGTCCTGAGACTGCACCCCAAGATATATTTTGGCATACAGTGGAAGTTCAGGGTCAGTGATGGGCCCTCAGCTTAACAGGTAGGGAAACCCAGCAGTGCTTCCTACCAGTGGAGGGGATGCTGAGCATCAGGACTCAGCCCACAGCTGGGCATCCAGGGGGTTAAGCTCCCACAGTGCAGAAGGGAAGTCACAGTCAGTAGAAATGAAGAAAGATCTCACCTATGTCTCTCCTGTGCTTTAAAATGTTTTCATCACTGGGGTTCCCTGTATATCTGTACACTATATTTCTGTTTAAGGCAACAGAATACAAATCTGTTCTAATATTATATCTATAATTTGTTGAAGATAAAGGCTCATAGTTGAAGACCATCAGATGCCTCTGAACATTTTACTTTCCTCTAAAGAGGTAGAATTTTTTTTATCACTTTATTAAGGAGACATTTAATTCTTCCTGCATATATAAATGGCAGTCACAGAATTTTAAAACTAGAAGTGACATTAGAGATCATGCATCTGGTCTGCCCTCTCCATTTTACAGTGTTAACTAAAGCTAGAGAGTTACCTCCCCTGCCAAACAGCGCCCAACTAGTTCATTATACTGCAGAGCCGGAAGACAGATCAGCAAGTGATGTGCACTCCCCTGTGTCTGGCACATAGCACGAGCTCAATAAATATGTTCTGTGTGAATTAGTGAGGGAGTGAGTGAACCGTGCGAGAGATCAGGAGAGAGACCTTGGATGTCATCACTTGGGGAAAGAGCCCCTGCAGAGCAGAGAGTAGCTCTCAGCTGGGTTGCTGCTGAAAATGCAGAAAAGCAGGAGAGCCCCCGTGGGTTTTTGACTGGCAAAGTACTCCTGTTTTAAATGGTCTTATTGCTGTAATCATTTCCTGTAGAAATTTTTGGAGAACCCAGAATTGTATGTGCCTCCGTTAGCACCTCATCCACTACCACCTGCCGACATGATCCCCAAAAGGCTGACACTGTCAGAGCTGAAGAGCCGATTCCCCAAGTGCGCGGAGCTGCAGGGCTACTGTCCAGTGACCTATCAGGATGGAAACCACAGGCAGGTCCTCACCCTCAGGGGAGGTTAGGGTGATATCTCTACTCAGAATAGGCAGTTCCTATAACAATCTTAACATTTGGGTTAAAAGATCACTATTATTTAACTGGAAAATGTTTTATCTCTTCCTTGAGTTGCATAGGTAGAAAATGAAACATTTTTGACATTTTATTTATACAGTACTGCATATTAATTATACAATCTTTTTTTTTCTTGTCTTTCAGATATGAGGCCCTTGTACCTGGTAACATTAAATTTGCTTTAGAATATCGTGATCGTATATATATTTGTGAGACTAGAGAAAAACTCGAGAAATTTTTGAGGTGAGACCTTTCACTAAGTTACCAATATTGAATATCTTCTATGTTCAGTGCACCATGCTGGGGTGTGTGTGTGTGTGTGTGTGTGTGTACATGCATAAATATATTTGTGTGTATAGACATACTTATGCATACATACATGCATATACACACATATACATACATGTATGATGATGACTAAGAACTGGTTCATGCTGTCCCAAGGCCTGAGGCTCTGAGGTACATTAGACTCTACATACCTGTTAACAGCAGAATGTGATGGCACTTAGGGTGGGGAAATGCCAGGAGTTCTGGTAATGTGTAGCCCAAAAGTCTGGCTAAGTTGTCTGTTGGGGTAAGGCCTGAATGAGGAGTGGGAGTTGGGTAGATGAAGGGAAAGAGGGACGGGTTCCAAGCAGAGAGACCTACAAACAAACCTGGCCCAGGGGAATAACAGAACTGCAAGAAAGTCAGCGTGGCTGGACATGATGAAGAGAAAAGGAAAGGATTGAGAGGTGAGGCTGGAGATGGTGAGCAGGGCCAGTGGGTGAAGATCAGGTAAAATCACCCTAAATTATTTGAACTTGACCCAAAAGGCAGTATGAATATATTAACTGGTTTTGCATATTATATTCAAATTCGCTTCGGAGAGAGACCATCACTGGAGTGTTGATAATGGATTGGAGGCAGGAATACCAGTGCTAAGGCTGGTAGAATGATCTTGTCCAAAAAAATACAGCATGTTTGAGGTCACCCATGAAGACTAGTGTGGGAAAAGCAGTGGGCTTAGGACCACACCCTGAGAAACACCAACACACAAATGTGAGGAGAAGAGCTTGCAAGGAGAATGATAAAGAAGAACCTACAGAGAAGTGAAGGAGAGCCAGGTCGAGGAGGCTGTGGGGAGGAGGGGAGCTGGGTGGGGGTGGGGTGTTGGCCAACAAGTCTAAATGCAGTTTAGAGGTCAAGCAAGAGAAGACCTAAAAAGTGTGTCAGATTTCGGTTATAACGGGTCATCGGTGATCCTGGCAAAAATGGTTTCAGTAGAGTGGGGGGCGTGGAAGGTAACTACAGCGTGCCACACTCTCGATGCGAGGTGAGGAAATGAAGACACCAGAGGTGACACACACACAGGTTACCTACAGCAGCCAAGGGCGTGAGGCACCTGCGGGAAGCAGCCTGGGTGTGAGAGTGCAGGGCACAGTGGGGTCTTCTGCGGACCGGCCAACCGGCAGGCCCCAGGTAAGGAGAGCTGATGCTACTTATCTACTGCCAGACGTTTCTGTTTCACAAGTTGGAAACCAGATTCCTTTTTCTTTTTAAACCAAATTATTCTGTTTTTGTTTTTGTTTTTTAATGTTCATGACTGATTTAAATTTCTAAAAATACTATGTTGATCAGATCGGATGGAATTTGTGCGGTAGTTTGTGATCTCTACTGAAGCTCACAGTTTCAAGAAGTTTAAAAAGAGAAGACACCAGTTGCTATAAATGATTTAGGATGGAAGGAGTGAAGGTTGTTTTTCTTTTTCCTTTTTTTTTTTCAATGAGGAAGCTAGGAGCACATTTAAATGCAGATGAATGGGGAGGATCCAATAAAGAAGGAAATGCCAAAGTGGAGAGAGAGAAATCACTCTAGAGAGGCTGGTGGGAGCGGGGCATCCAAAGTCTGAGGAGAGGCGGAGAGGGCGGAGGCAGCTCTGACGGGGAGGTAAGCTCCCCACGGAAAGAGGAAGTGTGTGCAGCTCCGCTTGTGGTGACTGGTTGAGGAAGTGCCCTTGGAACGGCTTCTGTCTATGTAACACGGCATCTGTGTCGAGGGTTCCCTGGGAGCCAGGAGGATGAGAACAAAGTTGGCTATTGTTGCTGTGAAAAACAAGAAAAGTGAGGCAAAGTGCGCAGCACTGAGGGCCAGGCAAAGTTGCAGGGCACAGATCTCCAGCAGTCCCCATCTTCTCACTTGTCACATTCTCTCCAGTGGAGAAAACCAGCCTGGTGAACTTTATCTCTTCGTTGTCTCTTACACATCCACTTTCCTGTGTATTCACAGCGAGTGTATTTGTGAGCAGCTATCTGATGATCTTTATGTTCTCAGGTTGCCAGAGAAATACTGGAGCCAGAAGCTTCCGCACAAACTGCCCCCGTTGAAGGAGCCCATCCATCTCACGAGTCTTCCTTTGCCTGGATATCTGGAACAGGTTCAGTCACATGACTGTCTGTGTTCATACATTAGTAGAGTACAATGATCTCTTCTTTAACAATAATTTTTATTTTGGTAACACTGAAATTCAAGGCAGAGTTTTCTGATTTTAAGCTGCAAATCCACTCTGAACCTATTCTGGTTTTGGATGGCTGGGAAAATAAGAAGTGAGAAGAACCCCTGCTTCTCTAATTTCCAAATATCTGCAATAAAGTGAAGAGAGAGCAGACTGTTGTGAAATTGTTTACATGTGACTTGTGGTTAGATTTCTTATTTTGAATGTCAGGGTCTGTAAAACTTTTTAAATTTGAAAGGTGCAGATTCAGTCTCCGAGAGGTTTATTCACTGCTCAAAGGTGTCGAGTGGCAATACCACCACAACTGAACCGGCAAAGTCATATTTTGCCCCAAATCTAGGGGCAAATGCCCCCAAATACTACTCAAGTCGCATCTTATCATCTAAATATAACTCTTTTTAAACAAAATAAAACTTACCAGTCATCAACCACTATTTTAAAAGCTCTTTTAAATTTTTCTATAAAATTAATGCCTAGGGCACAGTTTCATACCTTTCTCAGAAATTCTTAACCACTTCATTTTTTTCAACTTGCCTAGATGGTGAGCCTTTGGTCTGGTTTAATATCAAAAGGCAAGATGAGGCTCACCCAGAGAGGTGAGCAGCCTCATAAAAGGCCACGTTTCATCAGGAGGGCCTCACCTCTTCTTTGCCCACACAGGGTTCCAGAATCTTTGCTGTGGTGACTGACAACTGTGGTCTCTGGAATTCCTTGCCAGGTGGTCAAGGGTCCTGACAGCAGAGGCAGTCTGGCCAGTTCTGGCAATGGAAGTAGAAAACGGGCCAAGACAACTCAAAGCCCAGGGACCCCTTCTTTTGTCTTTAATATTTTATGGAAAATGTCAAACATAAAAATAGAAAGGATTGTGTAATGAGGCCCATGTATCTTTAGCCACCTGACATTCAGCCAATTTGTAATTTTCAATCTTCCTAATCAAAAGTACTTTGTGTTCCTTTCCATGTTGGTTAAGTGGTCATTTAACCACCTTATAGGCCCCATCCCCAACACCAAAGAATAGCCTCTTTAACTATTTGCCACTAAGAAAAAAAGCCAAATTCAAATATACATGTGCTCTACATTGTCCCCCCTGCAGGGCATCGCAACTTCACTAATTAAAGCAATGAATGCAGCAGGATGCTTAAAGCCCAAATTCCCGTTTTTAAGTATAAAGAGATCTGCACTGCTATATATAGCATTTCACCTAAAAGGTATGTCTTCTTTAATGATATGCTACTCAGAACTAATTTAACATTATTTGTAGTATACATGAGAAATGTATAGGATTGTTGAGCTGAGTCGGCTGCTTGCATTGGTAGCACTACAAATATTTTAATGAAATATCATTGTTAATAGCAAATATTTTAATGAAAATAACAAATTTGAGTTTCTAGTAAAGCAAGGACTATGAGTAATATGACCGGCTCTCAGTGATCCACACCACGGAGAAGGTGAATAGAGGCAGTTACGGTCTAAGATGGAGCAACCCCCAGATCTCACCTGTGGTTTCGGTATCTTCTCAGCTACAGCTGTGCAACCCTTTCACACGCATAGTTCTCTTTCTTTTTAATTGAATGAGTCACTAACCTACCAGAAAACATTCAGTTCTGTGACATTTTCTACAGCCTTCAATCCCAAAAGTTCTGAATATACAAGAAGGAAGTATAAGAAGAAGTTGGAGCAGTTTATGGAGAGATGTGAACTCATCACATACCTGGGTGCCAAGATGACCAGAAAATACAAGGAACCTCAGTTTAGAGCCATTGACTTTGATCATAAATTACAGACCTTTCTCTCTCTTAGAAATATAGACCCAGTTAATGGCTAGTTTGCTTGGGCAACTGCAACCAGGACGTCAAGAGTTTTCCGAAAGGGTTAGAAGGAAACAGGTTGAAAATCTGGCCCTGTCTGCTGTACTTTTTCCCTTTTGAGCGATACACTTCGGCTGCCGGCCGTCAAATGGACTCAAAGCTCTACCGGCCCAGAAAGGGTGCCTTCTGGAAGCATACATCTTGACATAATTTAAAAATGTATCTCTCTTTGCACTCATGATTTGCATTCAAACATTCATGCTTTAACGACATAGTTATTCCATTTAGAATATTTAGGTAACTTATTTTACTTAATCTATTGTTCAATTTCCTTTTTAACATTTTCAGCCTCTGTTAAAGAAAATTAGTAAATGTTAGAAAGCTTCCAGAAACAAAATTAACATTGATATAGATAAAATAGAAACTTTGGTTACACTTACAACGTAAGGAGTTGCTTGTAAACTTCACGAACCTGAGACACTTTATCATTTTCCCAACAAAATAAATGCATTGAGATAACTAAATGGCTGCCTCTTTTCTTTTTCTTAAATATTCAAGAAGCAAGCTTTATACATTATTTTGTAATTAGAAATCACCTGGAGTTTTGAAAAGGATGAAATCTGGAGTCTTGTCATATGACATTATCCAGAGGTATATATGTTAGAGGAAAACTCACTAAATTGCATTTGAATGAGATTTTTAAAATATTATCAATTTTTCAACAGCAGTATAAGAAATACAGAATATGAAATAGCAAGATTGGCTCTTCAAAAAATAAAAAATACAACTACTAACTGTGTGATCTTGGGCAAATCTCAGTTTCTCTGAATGTTTGTTGTTTAATCTCCAAAATGAGTGATTTAGGGGTTTTTTTCCAGCTTAATGAGGTATAACTGACAAAATTACATATATTTAAAGTGTACAACATGGTGATTTTGATACAGGTATGCATTGTGAAATATGTCCCACAATCAAATTAACTAACCCATCCGTCACCTCACATAGTTACTTTGTGTGTGTCTCTATGTGTGTGTAGTGAGAACCCTTGAGAGCCACTCTGTTAGCAAAATTTAAGTATACAATACAGTATTATCAACTATAGCCACCATATTGTACATTAGGTCCTCAGAATTTATTCATATTATAATTGAAAGTTTGTACCTTTTGGCCAATATCTCCCATTTCTCCTACCGCTCAGCCCTTGGCAACCACCATTCTACTTACTCTCTGCTTCTAATGAGCTTGACCTTTTTGGTTTTTTAGATCCCACACATATATGATACCATGCAGTATTTGTCTTTCTCTGTCTGGCTGGCTTATTTCACTTAGCATAATGTCCTTCAGGTTCATCCATGTTGTCTTTGACCCTATAATTTCAACAATGTTAATTAAAAACTAGAAGGCTGTCCTATATATTTTTGTATAATATATTTTCATAACAAAATATGTTTAAACAAAACAAAAAATAAGAATTGAGATTCTAACCAGAGGGTGAAAGACATTCCAGGAGTTAACGAACATGTATATTTACCAAATGTGAGCCAGGCATGGTGAAGACTGCTCAGTTTATACAAGCATGTATATACTTACAAGGACCTCTCTCAGTCTAGGGTAAGAAATAAAAATGTAAACAGATACACAACACCTCTACAAAATGCAGGAGATATAGGGCCTAGAAACTGGAGCACTACTGAATTAGTCTTGTAAAATCTCTATAAAGTGGGGGTATTGTCCCTATAAAGGTGCCCTATTGGCACAGAACAATGTCAATTACTCTTCTATTCCCCTCAGATACATTTAAGTCATGAGCTTTGGACTATAGTTTCTGCCTGCTACAGTTATCAGTCAACCATCATAACCTGCAAGGATGTTTTTGATTCCCTTCATAATGTCAAAGGACTTCTACCAACCTCTAGTTGCTAGATGATTGTGACCCTCTCTTTTCTTCAAACTCCTGCTGGGTTCTCCATTGACCCAATTCACCCAGAAGCCAGTAGGTACTGGGCTTTGTTGAAGCCTTTGCAGCTTCCAGGGCCAAAAGATGGGGAAGAAGAGTGGAGATTGAATTTGGAGGGGAAAGAGAAAAAAATCTGGATAGCCTCTTCTGTTTCAATATTCACCTGTAAGTGATCCTATAAGAATTTATAATCTATACTCTGATAACTCCAATATTAATATCCCAAATTCTGTTCTCATCTCTGAACTTCAGACTCTTGTCTACATGTGCTTACTGTATATCTTTACTTGGTTATCTAGTTGACATCTCAAATTTAATATTCCCACCCCATACTTGTTATTCACCCAGTTTCTCTTTCTCCAGTTTTCTCCCAGATTAGTTCATGGTAATGCTGTACACTCAGCTGATTTGGTCCCAAACCTAGGGATGAACCTGGATTGCATTCTTTCCTTCACTCCCCACATCTCGTCTCTCAGCAAGTCCTGTCAAAGATTACCTCCAAAATATACCATGAGTCTGGGCTCTCCTCACGTCTTGTACTCCTCTCACCTACTTCCCATGCTTCTGTCCATGTTCCTCTAGGATCAACTTTCCATCTAGCACCTGGAGCAGTCTTTAAATATATAAATCAGATTTCATCATTCTCTTTTTAAAATCTTCCAATGGCTTCCTTCTTCAGTTAAAATAAGATCCAAACACTTTACTCTTGTCAGATGTGTGATTAATTTTATATGTCAACTTGAAGGGTATTTTTGGATGAGATTCAAATGTAAATCAGTGGACTGAGACTAAAATTGACCTCCATAATGTGGGTGGGCTTTATCTAATTAGTTGAAGGCCTGAATAGAACAAAAAGTGCAACCTCCTTGAGTAAAGGCAATTTTCCTGCAGACTGCCTTCAGACTTCATTTGCACTATCAACTCTTCTGGGTCTGAAGCCTGCAGATTTTAGACTTCCCAAGCTCCATAATCATCAAGCCAATTCCTTGGAATAAATGTAAATCTCTGTGTGTGTGTGTGTGTGTGTGTGTGTGTGTGTGTATATATATATATATATATATATATATATATATATATATATATCCCATTCGTTCTGTTTATCTTGAGAACTCTGGCTAATATAGCATAAAACACCTTGCATGATCTAGTCCTGCCTCACTTTTCAACATCTTCTCCATTCTCTTTTATCTGTTCCCTCTTTCTTTTGGATTGACTAGGACTTTTTAATTTCATTTCTCCTCTGAAGTTTTCAAAGTTATGCACTCTATTTCTACCCACTGAGTAGCTATCACTACTCTTAACGTGAATGCTTAGTCTGAAGATAATCAATACCTCTATCCTTAAAACACTTAATACTATTCACCAGCTTGCCATCTTAAATGCTATTTTACTCAATATTTCAGACCTAGTTTATTTATTATCCAAAATAGACATTTTCTTTTCATAATCAGTGTTTATTTAGATTTTCCCCATGTTTGCTGTTTTTCTCTCTGTCACCAGTCCTCCTTACATCTCAGACTTTCCTTGTAGGGTTATTTTCCTTCCTATAGTAGGGGTTTGTTGGGGGTTAATGCTTTCAATTTTTGTTTGTCCAAAACTGTTTTGATTTTGTCCTTGTTTGTTATGATAGTTTTGTGATATAAAAAATTAGAAATAGACAATCTCAGTAAGCCTATATCTATTTAAAAAATTGAATCAATAAATAATAACCTTCAAAAATGGGAAGTATCGGGTCCAGATGGTTCACTGGTAAATTCTATCAAACATTTAAGGAAGAAATTATACCATTTCTCTACAAAATCTCTATTTTTCTACTAATCTCTTTCAGAAGATAGAAGCAGAGGGAATACTTTCTAATTCATTCTATGGGGATACAACTACCCTAATACCCTAATACCAAAACTAGACCAAGACATTACAAGAAAAGAAAACTACAGACCAATATCTCTCATGAACATGGATGTAAAAACCCTAAGCAAAATATTAGCAAATCCAATAAGTATAGAAAGACTTATACACCACAACCAAGTGAAATTTATCCCAGGTATGCAAGGCTGGTTCAACATTCAAAAATCAGTTAATGTAATCCACCACATTCACAGATTAAAGAAAAATTACATGGTCATATCAATAGATGCAGAAAAAGCATTTGACAAATCCCAACACTCATTCATTATAGAAACTCTCACTGAACTAGGAATAGAAGAGAGCTTCAACTTGATAGGTCATTTACAAAAACTTGAAGCTTATACCATACTTAATGGTGAGAAACTAGAAGCTTCCCCACTAGGGTCAAAAATAAAGATGTTCTGTCTCACCACTCTTTTTCAACGTCATACTGGAAGTCCTAACTAATGCAGTAGTACAAGAAAAGGAAGTAAAAGTTATACTAATTGAGAAGGAAGAAATAAAAATGCCTTTGTTCACAGACAACATGATAATCTATGTAGAAAATACAAAGAATCAACCAAAAAAACCTGGAATTAACAAGTGATTACAGCAAGGTTACAGTAAACAATGTTACTATATAAAAGTCAATCACTTTCATATATGCCAGCAATGAACAAATGGAACTTGAAATTGAAAACACAATACCATTTATATTAGCACCCGAACAAAATACTTAGGTATAAATCTAACAAAATACATATGTATATGAGGAAAACTTCAAAATTGTTGAATGAAATCAAGGAACTAACTAAAAGGAGAGATATTCCATGTCCACAGATATGAAGACTATATTGTCAAGCTCTCAGTCCTCCCAACTTGATCTGCATATTCAACACAATCCCAGTCAAAATCCCGGTAAGTTATGTTGTGAATACCAACAAACTAATTCTGAAGTTTGTATGGAGAGGCAAAAGACCCAGAATAGCCAGCATAATATTGAATAGCCAGCATAAAACAAAAGAACAAAATCAGAGGACTTACACCACCCAACTTCAACATTTATTAGAAGGCTACAATAATCAAGACAGTGTCATTTTGGCAAAAGAATAGACAGATTAGTGGAACAGAAAAGAGAGGCCACATAATTAGATACAGTCAACTGATCTTTGACAAAGGAGCAAAGATGGTCCTTCCAACAAATGGTGCTGGACATCCACATGGAAAAAAAATGAATCTAGACACAGATTTTATACCCTTCATAAAATCACCTCAAAATGGATCACAGATCAAAATGTAAAATGCAAAACTATAAAATCCCTAGAAGACATCATGGGAGAACCTAGATGACCTTGAGTATGGCAATGACTTTTTAGATACAACACCAAAGGCATGATCCATGAAAGAAATGA